GCAGGGTCAAACTCGCCGGGAAAGGTGGCGTCACCCTACTGTAAGAGATCGCTCGATCCCTCATCGGAAAAAATCATCACCATCAAATTCGCTACCCAAGTGGTCGATAATCAACTGTATAAAATCAGTAATCTCTTGAATTTACGCCTCCCGAATGCCTGTTGTCGGAACGTCGTCGTACCATGTGTGCTGTAGTTGGAAGACGGGCAATTTTTGTGGAAATAGTAAAAAAGGAACTACGAGAGGGACCCTTCCCACATGCCAGGTGACCACGCCTGCAGCTGTCGAGTGGTGCCGCTTTATAAGTTCTCTCGCCCAGAAATGAGAAGAAGTAAAGCTCAATTTCGCATGTGCTCACTGCATGTCTTCCAAATTGGGGAATAAGCGATCCACCTAGGGCAAGAATGGTATTTTTGTATAAGCGACTTAAAACTAAACATATGGCAGGTTATGACGGAGAATAAGTACACATCATCGTCTGGGATCCCCCAACAAGGGAAGTCCGAGAAATTTTTTTTGATTTCAGATTTTTCTTTGCTTTTTAGAGCAGACGCTCGAACGCAAAATCTTGTGGAAAAAAGTAAAAAAAAAGAAATTCTGGAAAATCAGAAAAAAACTGGTAAGAAGTTTGAGAAGTTAGGGAAAACCTGAGAAAGGGGTAGGTAGGATGTGAGGAGGTGTAGTATTCTGCTCGCGAGTTTTCCCGTTTGTGGCGCACGATATACTCCATTTGCTTTCTTTCGAGCATTCGCTTTTACGTGAGGATTTTACACGCATAGAGCTGTCGCAAAAAGTATCTGTCAAGTATTTTCTTTATGATTTTTGTAATCAATGTACTGGGAGGGGCAGGTAAGCGAAAGTGCCTACGCCTTATTTTGGTAGTCTGAACACAAGTTGTTTGTGATCGGTTGCCCATCATGTAATAAGGGCAGAGAATGGCGTATCTGCTGTCGGCTGCTCCCATCCGTTTCCGTCTGTGGTTGTGACAATTCTGCTGCCCTAAACTCGACAACACTTACCTTTCCGGTCGGAAATCATCAGCATCGTCCCCCAAAAGTTCTCGATTGAAGTGGATTGTGAGAGTATCGGCGCATACATTTTCGCCCTCTTGGATTCGAACTCCTCCAAGAGTAGTAGCTTTCATACAACGACGAGAGAATTTGCGCTGAAAATACGGCTTAACTCCGCAACATAAATTTACAACTTTGGAGAGAATACTGGCGCTAAGTAGAGTAGTGCATCACAGTTTACATAGTTGCGCAAGATACATTCGCAGAGTTTCCTTGATAACGGCGTCCAGGTATCTCAGGCTTGTCAAGGTTTCATAGCTGATCGACTGAAAAACTTTTTTTTCAGCATTGCACTCGAGAATGCCCTTGCGTGTCGCATAGGTGGATCTCGCGGAAGGTCGTGCAGGCGCAGTTCGGCTTGGGAGGGGCATTTTGCACTTTTGGTAGTCACCATCGATGTTTTAATTCATTTGTTTACAAGACTTAGCGGGTATTCTTGACAAGAACTTGCAAGTGGTCTCCACAACTTCACCAGATATCTCTTCCTGGTTTCACAAGACTTCACAGCTGTCCACTTGATGGCGCGACGTCGAAGGGAAGTAGCAAAAAAAGAAACGAAATACCCCTACCCCCCTCCACGCCGAACCATGCAGCAGTGCACTATGTTAGAGCTCAGAATCGTGAAGGTACTCCCATTAGTGAGCTCCACCCTCTGACTCGACACAATGTAGTAATTCTACGTCAAAAGTTTGACCTAGGTGAAACTGTCGCTTTACAACGGCGTAAAGGCATCGTCTCATTGTCAGTAAAGCTGTGAGGGTACGAGCGCCCCTGGTGGCGCAACGGATACGTAGTCCGGTAGGCGTAACGTGCAGGTTCGGGGCCCGCCTACTGTCAAGTTTTTGCCCATAACTAAGCAGCAACATTTGTAATAACCACTCTCACCCTTAGTAGCACCGCTTTCGTCGCGCAACATAGGCCTCTCAACGAACTCTGCACTAGCCCCGACAATCAAAGGGGTTATGAGGTA